CGCAAGGTCGGGGCCTCGATCTGCCAGTGCGCCGCGCAGCGGCGGCAGACAAGGAAGCGGCCAGCAGGCTGCAGGATGTGATCTTTGAGCTCAGAGGTGGCCGGGGACTCCATCGGGGACTCGGCGGAGCCCTCGAGCCCCAGCTCAAAGGGGGGCCCTGACAGCGCCACGTCGGGCCCCTACAGGGAGGGCCCCCTCCGCGCCGCCAGGCCCGCACAGCCGAGAGGGCGAGACGGAGCCGGTCGGGCTGCTCGGAGGCGTGCGCGACGAGCAGTGGCATCGCGTGCACCGAGCACCGCCCCGCCACCCCCCTCAGCCTCCAGATCGTGTGAGAGCAGGGCGAATTGCGGCGCGTACTCTCCTCGCACTCCGGATGGGATCGGGGCCCCTGGGACCGAGGCGGCTGCAGGCTGAGCAGCTCTCGACCAAGAAATCCAGCGTGCGATAGAGCGACTCGCGAAGCTGTGCCATCCAGACCTTGGGGAGCTCATGTTAGGCTGCCCCGAGTCTGGCAAAGGAGTCGGCCCACGCGTTGCCGGTTGGGGTCCGAGCGTTTCGGAGCGGCGCTCACCTCGCGGGAGGGTCAGACCAAAAACATGTCGGCGATCAGAACACAAATGAAACACTTACTTATTCTTGCGCGGTCTATGGGGCGACACGTGTCGCCCGCGTGGCGCCATCCCAGCGCTCAGAACACAAATGGCGCATCTGGTTTTTGCTCACGCGGCTGTCAAGGTAAACGTGTCACTCATTAGATGTCTTAGGTGTTGCATGACCCCGTGGTGGCACGGTGAAAACACATGAAATATTCAATGTATCTCACGCTGTGCTCGGGGTAAACCGTGTCACCCGCGTGCTTTCTTACAACGCATGGCCTCTCATAAGCGCTGTGAATACACATGAAACGATTCGTTTTCTCGTACGTTTCCGCGGTGGTCCGTGTCACACGCCTTGCAATGCATAGCTTCACGTTGGCACGAAATGAAAAATGGCTTCGGCCTGAATTCTCTTGGGGACCTCTTGGAGGTCTCCGTGCCAGACGCCGAGCAGCGAGCTCGAATTGTCTGTGAGTGCAAACGAAAGGGGGGCGGAAACGAAAGCAGCTGTCGGCGTCCCGGGGGGGGCGTGAATAGGCCAAAGGAAAGATTAATCAAGCACCAATCGGGCTTCCGCACGCGCCAAAGCGCCATGGCAGAAACAAGCTCCCGGCAAAAGCCGGGGACCACCTTTTGCCTTGTGTTGCTCCCATCAGACTTACGGACCACGTCCCATAAATAATTTCGAGCACCCAGAAAAGTGTCGAAACAATGTCGAGATAGTCGAAACAATGTCGAGATAGTGTCGAGCGAATGCCTCCCAAGGTCCGACCCGTGAAAACCTTAGAGTTTCGGTGCTTTCTTGGTACTCGACATTATCTATGGTGATTAGGGCTAACGTAGGTTGGAACATCATAACTTTTGCCAGAAAAGGGGGGTGCGTCACAGGATGTGGCCTTCCTGTGAGGCTTTGGGGAAACATACCCCCCAAGAGAGCGCCAGTCAGAGCCGCCTTCCCGGCAGACACTGCGGCAACTGCTGCTAAGCCAAGGGTTGTGGCGGCACACAGGAAGCACGAACAGATCTCCGCTATAAAGAAATTAAACTAGAGGCCGCTTAGATGGGGTCCAGGTAGATGGGGCCCGAGGGACGCGCCGCATCAGCGATGCATCGGCGACGTCGGCGATGCACCGGCGACGCCGGCGTGGGGAAACGTGAGCTCCACATCGAGCCGCATCGCTGCTGCATCGGCGATGCGGCGCGATCCTCCTGCCCCATCCACTCTGACCTCATCTGGGAGGCCTAGATAAACCGTATAGCCACCCAAGAAAGCGTAAGACGGCACTAGAGCTGCTTTGCCATCGAAAAACACTGGCCGATTTTTGCGACGCCAAGGGTTGGCGTCACGGTAGGTCCACTTTATGCTTCTTCTGGAAGACAACCGCGAAAGGGGGCACCAGAGCAGCCCTCGCGGGAAAAGCCAAAGGCCACCTTTTGCCAGGCCAGTGTCGCGCGGTGCCCTGGACTGCCGCGTTCAAGGCTCTTTCATAAACCCGTCGTGGTCTTTAGCGAACCGTCGAAGATGTTCTGCGCAATCAAATCAGAACATGAATGGATGGGACGCACCTGGTTGCGGGGTCGAGGTCTGGAGCCTTGCAGCAACAGTCAGTGGGCCCGTCGCGGTCTCGGGGCCATCTCGTCGGTGACCGCCGCCGAAGCGTCCGTGGGACATTTGTTCTTTGAGCCAGCCACGCGGGGAACGTATTCTTTGGCAACGTATGACTTCATACTGAAAACCAGGTCGCAAGAGAAACAATCGACTTTTCACTCCCAATTTTCGGGTGACGCACTCGTCCGTGGGTCACTCTTGTTGTCGGCTCGTCCGTGGTACGCACCCGTACGCGCCGCACCAGGTCTTTATTTCATGGCAACGTTCGTCCTAATTGTGGGGACCAGAATGCAAAAAAGGTGCTAGTTTGTCACACTTAGTTTTCGAGTGACCCGCCAGTCCAAAGGACGCTTGTTCTATGATCTGGCCACGCGGCAAACCTTTTCCCCGGCAGTGTTTGATGTTTGACCTAGTGTTGAGACCCAAAATGGAATGAATCAATTGTCGATTGGTTGTTCGAGCCAAGTGTCCCGGTGGCCAGCCGGTCGGTGGGCAAGAAGTGTTGTGAACTCGCTGGGGAATTCGTGACCTTGCAACGTTTAAACTCGCGATGAGGCCCGAATGCAACTGAAACAATGGGAATACCACACGCAGTTTGCGGGCGATCTACCAGTCCGCGGGTCACCTGTGTTGTGAGCACGCTACACGGGGGACATATTATGTGGCAGTATTCGACCTCGTCGTGAGGACCATCATGCAAGCGCAACGGATGACTTTTGACACCCACATGTTTCGAATGGCCCACTCGTCCGTGGGTCACCTGTGCTGTGAGCGGGCCACGCCGGGCACTTGTTACCTGGCAATGTTTGACTTCATATTGAGCTCAAAGATGAAGCTGAACTGATTTGTTGTTCACATCCAAATTTCGGGGGTGCCCCGTCCGTCCGTTGGCCACCTGCGTTGTGAATGCGCCATACGGGGCAACGCAGTATATGATAATGTTTGACGTTACCGTAATGTTGAAGTTTTGGATGCAAGTGGAACACCTGGCTTAACGCATCCAATTCTCGGGCGAACCGCCCCTCGGTGGGCCACCTGTTTTTGTTGTTATGACAATATCGAACCGTATGTTGTGTACAAGATTGTTCAAAAAGACACGCCCGATATCATTATCAGTAATGCCCATCTCCTCGTTAGTGGTATTATGATCATATCCACTCACCTATTTTTTCAATTGTGTTCTAGACGGTTATGCTCGATCTACCTTTGGTTCGTGACGTGCTGCGGATCACGTGGTGCCACAAGTGGTGGCAAGACCATGCATTTCGTGCCCCTGTAGCTCCCTTGGTGTGTCGGGGGCAACACGCGGTTACCAGAACGTCCGCGACTCCCCTCCTAAATGATACTGGTGAATGCCGACCCCAATGTGGATTCGTGCACGCGCGGTCGCGTGTCATGCTGTGCACGCTTACGTGAACGTGCTTGTTGGTGCGCCATGCGCGTGCGCTTCGTTTCCGTAGATCAGAGAACCGTGCGCTCTCCAAACATCCGATGGATTGATTTTCTGCTTTCCACATATGTCTTTCTTGACCATCTCGACCCGTGTTCTGAAGAAAATTATCAGCCAAGACTCACTTTCGGCGATCCCTGGGACCCACAAGCGGCCACTGGAGGGCGAATCGGAAGGGAAACGCCGGGACGAGACGGAAACGATCCTCCCAAAGTCTGGAGTCGCTGCAGCTGGCGGCGATGTGCTGGCCTCCACCCAGTGCTGCCTGCTGGGGTCGAACACGTCTCAAGTGCCCAACATTGTTGCTGCGCTGTGCGCTTGCGCGTGCGCCGTCGTTAGTGGGGGAATCTGAGGGGAAACTGTAGGGGGGAACCTACTCAGGCGGGGGGTATACGTTGGGCTGCAATCGGCGATGCATCGCCGATAGATCGGCGATAGCCCTCCGATGGCGAATCCGCGTGTTCCTGGGCGGGGAGCGACCGTAAGACTCCCATCGGCGATCAACGGGCGACTGGGAGCCGATGCGTTCCTCCCTGAGCCGATCCCCCCCCTGTCGGTGCCCCCGATTGCGCTTGCGCTCTCGATGGTGAAGGGAACGCGCGCCGTCGCAAACGAGGCGGTGTGGCGCCGCGGCCGCCGCTGCCGCTGCCACTGTCGTCGCGGTCGGGGATGGCTGTGCGGCGGGGACAAGCAGATCCCGACACCGCTGCTCCCTGGAATCTCCCCCAGGGCGCGCCACGACCAGAATGCTGGGACAAATCCCGCCGCGGCAACGAGGGCCCCACCCCAGGACTCCACGGTTCTCGTGAGCGATACAGCAAGTCTGCCCGTCTTCGTTTTGCCGCTTTCCTCTGGCTCTGGCGCCGTTTTGTGTGTTCCGGATTCGTCGTCGCTTTTGTTTCCCATTCCAGCTCAAGTTTCAATCCTGGAACTGTTTTAGCCCGTTCTGGCAAACTTTTTTTTATTGTTTTCATCATCAAGATCCAGTTCTGTGGGCTCGGTACAACAACGGCCCTGCCGTTTCCAAGAACCACTAAGCTCCCAGGTCGCGCCACGACCAGAATGCCGAGGCAAATCCCTGCCGCGGCGACCAGCCCCCCCCCCGTGGGCCCAGGAGAAGCGAAGACGAGGGAAGGGCAGCGGCATGAGTACCTCAGTTTCTCCCAGAGAGGAGCCACCAACATAACATAAACATCATTGCTTAGAGGTCCGCGCGGGCTTCCTGGATCGGCACCGAAGCCGCGCCAGAGGCGCCGCCAGGCGATCCAACAAATCCGCGCGGACCTCCGGTAGATAATGTGGACGCCGTTGGTTGTTCTTCGATCCTCTGGGGCACTGCGCAGGCCTCCACCCAGCACTGCCTGCTGGGGTCGAACACGTCGCAGGTGTCCAGCAGCCCCTCGGCGATGCCCTTCTCGTTGTAGCCCCCGACGACGATCATCCGCCCGTCGGGCAAAAGAGCTGCAGCGAGCGCAAATTGGCGGGGGGAAGCACAAGGGCAGAGCAACAAGGGAGTCCTCCTCCTCCTCCTCCTCCTCCTCCTCCTCCCGCGCCCCGTTCCTCCCCCCGTCAGGATTCGGGTTAGGATGACCCCCCCCTCGCCCGCGCCCCCTCCCCCCCGCCCCCATCCCCCCCTCGCATCCTCCTGCTCCTCCGCCTCTCCCTCCTGCTCGCCGTCGTCCTCCTCGCACCATGCCCGCATTCGCCCCTTCGTTCCCTTCCTTCGAAAGACTACCTATGGCATCGACACGTCTAGCATTTTCGATCTTACCAGCGACCAAGAAAACCCAAGAGACTGCTAATATCGCCTCTAGACGGCCCCCGAGATTCCCATGAGGGACCTTCAAGACGGCCTCCCAGCGGCCAGAAAATAACGCGGCACCACAAGACCGCCGCAAGCCTCCCCTCCAAGATGGACCCAGGGCCCCTCAGAGGCCTCCATCAAACCCCTCAAAGCTGCTACGTATCTATGTTGTTGGGAATGCAGCTGGTCTTGAAGCGAGAAACCTCTATCACGTAGCGACCCTCCTTAGTACCTGAACCTGGGCAGGCGTGCTGCTGGGCGCCAATGGAAAAGCCTGGGGAGCGCAGTGCCTCTTCCTGAACAAGGAGTGCTCCTTACACCGATGTTCCGACTGCAACACGCAGTCGATAAGTGGCAACACGCCGAAGCTAGAAGCACAAACGGCTAGATTCACGTGTGACATGCGGAGGCCACCTGCTGGATACGAATGCGGAGTGCCGCAGTACCTGGCCAGACGACGGCCGAGAGCTGGAAGGACTCGCCGCCACGCGCACCTCGTGTCGGACGAAAGAGGGGGATAATAAACATGGAGGTTGACGAGAATCAACTCAAGCAACTGGTTTTCCTGGCGCCTTCCGGCGCCAGGAGGCGCCCGTGTATCCAGGAAAGGGCCCGACGGCGGGGCCGAAATCAGCTGCATGCAGCTCACCCTTTCTCTATATAATCCTCCCGTTCGTCCGACCCGAGTAGTCAGCTCTCGCATTGGCCGCCCACGTCATCTGTATCCAACGCCGCCGCAGCTGCTTCAGCATCAATGTCAAAAGGTCTTGCGTCCTTACCCTGTTTCCTTCCTGTTGCAGGGAGGCGCAAGACTCGAATTCTAGGATCGAATTTGCCTGACGGGGTCGTCAGAAAAAACGACGAGGTTCAGTCCGAAATCTGGCGCGGGAATCTGCTGCAAGCACCACGGAAACTAGACCGTCACAAGTGCACGCCGGTGCCGTCAAACAACGTTTGCAGACCAGAGTTCGGGCAAGCTCGGATCGTGAGTGCGCCTTGACTGCCATCTTAGATGCTCGTTCTGGGGAGCTTCCTGGAGCCACTCGCTCCACTCGTGCGTCGATGCTGCGTCGAACGTCCGTCGACTTGAGTCGAACACGAGTCAAACTTAAACTGAGCTAGAATCGAAGTCGAAATAGGTCCGACCCACACATCCGTATGTAGAGGCCTCCTGGATGGGGTCCAAGTAGATGGGGTCAGAGGATCTCGCCACATCGGCGATGCATCGGCGATGCATGGTCGATACATCGGCGACGTCAGCTACGCACCAGCAGCGTCCGCGTGGAGAGGATCGGGCTCCACATCAAGCCGCATCACCGATGCATCGGCGATGCGGCGCGATCCTCCGACACCATCTACTCCGACTCCATCTGCGAGGCATAGTGTCGTTGCACCGGCCTTGCAGACGTGCTGCAGCGGATTTCTGCGTGGATTTCTGCGTGGATTTTTGCCCGAAACGGCGAGCGAAAAACGAAGTGAATTTCGCGTGGAATGTTTTAGTCTTCATTCCTGGCCCACAAAAATCGGCACGAAATTCACCTCGAAATCCGGAACGGTATTCTCCAGGACACACCGGCCCCATCCTCTCGTTTTCCGAACGAAATCCGCCCTGCGATGTCGGCGCCATGGCATTTCGCTCGTCCCCAATCGGGGCAGACCTCTCCGCCAGCCCGCCCGCTGGGCGCCGCGCAGCGACTGCGGCGCCCAGCGGCCGGCCCGGAGGCCACGGGGCGCGGCCGCCCCCCCCCCCGGAAGGAACGTTGTCTCTGAGCCCCCAGTCGTCAACCGGTATGACAGTTTGGGCGCCCGAGCTGCCTGGGGCAACTCGGGCCTCGGGAAGGCCTCCCAAACGAACATCCGCAGTGAACAGTCCGCCCGAGCCATCCGCTCGCCCGTGCGCAGAGGGGGGGGCCGCCTGCCGCGCTCCCGGCCCTGCGGGTCGGCATGGGCTCGCACAGGACCCACCGGCCGTGCCACGTGTCGAACATCTCCGTGGTGCTCAGCGGGCCTGCCAGGGCGTTCGCTTCCCGCCCCCTCCGGGAGCCTGACCGCGGCAGACGCGGAGAGATTTGCTGTGGGACAGTGGTCCGGAAGTCGCTGGCCCCCACGAGCGAGGTGCTGCCTATTTCCGCCCAGAGGGCGGTGCAACTCGCACGTGGGAGCAGGCCGTCAAAGGCTGACCCGGATGCTGAAGGCATTTCGCACCGATGTCGCCTCCTCCCCCTCCTCCTCCCCCTCCCCCTCCCCCTCCTCCTCCTCCTCCTCCTCCTCCTCCTCCTCCTCCTCCTCTGAAGCACAAGATGTGGCCGCAAGGTAGCATTCTAGGTCTCATCCTGCTCACGCGCCGCCTGGTGCAAAACTTACCTGACCTGACCCCCTTCGAGAGGAAGGGGCCCAGGCACTAGCGCCGGTGGGAGTGTCCTCTCGAGGAGTGCACCAAGTCGAAGAGAAGAGGACGGACGGATAAGGGCAGGGGACGAAAGAAAGCCAGTCCAGGGGCAGGAGAACTCTGCTGCCCCGCAGGGGAGCCGATCCCAAGTGGACGCTGCCAAGAGGGCCCCCCGAGGAGTCGGAGGTGGAAGAGGAGTGACAAGGGCGAGGGGGAGGGCGACGAAGAGGAGCGGGCGAGTAACGACGGCGTGCTGGAAGAGGGAGATGTGGAGTGGGCGAGGTATGAGGAGCGAGGAGCGGAGGGGGGAATGATGGAGGAAGAGCAGGGGAGACTGGAAACTGGATGGGGAGGGCAATCATCTAACGGGATGGGACACGGGACGATAGGAATGATAATGGCTAGGAGATGGGAATGCGCGGACACGAAGTGGGAAAAGAGAGCGAGAGGGACAACCAACAACTAGAACCAGAGAAAGAGAGAGAGAGAGAGAGAACAACAGCATCCACACAAATATATCGAGCGAGGAGAGAGAGAGAGAGAGAGAGAGAGAGAGAAAAAAAAAAAAACACAAAAAAGAGCAAGCGAAACGGGGAGAGAGAGCGTACATATATACCACAACTGAATCTAGCGAGCGGGACAGAGAGAGAGAGAGAGGAAGAGAGTGCGACAAAGGAGTAGAGATAAAGAGATAGAGAGGGGGAGAGATGTAGAGCGTCCCTACTTCGTCCTGGAACCGCATTCTTCTCTTCCAGCCCTTGACATTGAGCGCTCGCACCAGCCCCGCCGCCGCGTCAACGCGAAACGATGCCGTATCCCCTGCGCACATTGTCGAAAAGCGAACTCATGCTCGCTTGGGCTCGCCCACTTGCCAGCGCGCCAAATATTTGACCCGTCGAACTGCCCACGAAACGCCAGTGAAAGGCGGGCGGTACGGGAATGCGACAAAGGTTGAGAACACAGCACGCCCCCCAATATGCATTCCGTGCTTACTTGCAGTATCCGATTTTGCGCGTGCAGGATGGGCCTGGGCGCCACTCTCTCTCCTGACCAAGGAAGGGCTCTCACACCCAAGCCTGTATGTTCGTAGACCAGCATATCTTTCAAACAGCTTCGGTGTACGACCGACGGCACGACCCGAACCAGGGGGCTGGTATAGACAGGCCTTAGTCCCTGTAAACCATCGGTATTGATTCTGACACATAGGCCGTCCTCCCCAGACATGCAACGCGTTGATTTTTCCCATGCGGGATCTCCAGAAGTTCGACCCTCTCCCCAGGAGCTTTTTCTCAGCTGGGACAGTTTTTTGACGGTCTCGAGGGCCAGCGAGGGTCTCCTGAGGCCGGAAACAATCAAAACAGGCCGTCGTGATGTGTGTTCACGACACGAGCATGCATGCTGCATGTGTAATTCGCCCCTGTCGTTCCACCCTCCATGCCCGCCCCGGGTGGCCCTGTGTCTGGTTGCGGCCGCCGAACGCGTACAGCATGTCCGGCATAAGCTCGTCGAAGCGCAGGAAGGGGGCTACCTGTGACGGCGCGCTGCTTTTTGTCCCCTCCCGCCATCGCTGTGCGATCTCGTGTGGAAAAAACAAATAGCCATACTCTTTCGGAGACCCGCGCGGCTTCCTTGGATCGGCGCTGGGCCCCCCTGGCTGCGCCCGCCACCGGCGCCGCCTCTAGAAAAACCCAGCGCCGATCCAAGAAATCCGCTGGGAACTCCGACAGTTTGCGTTCATGCCGTTTTCTTTTCTTCAGATACATCTTCTAGCCTCTCCCTGCGTCCACCTTCTCCTGCCTTTAGCGCTCCACCACCCCAGCAAACCCAGCTCCATCCAGCCCCGCTCCACCCCTCACCCCTCCCGCTCGCCCAGCTAGCGCAAGCCATAGCGACCCTCACGCTTCCTTCCGACCGTTTCCCTTCACATTCCTCCACCTCCACCTCGTCCTGCGCAATCGATTACCCAACCCCCAGCAGCCCACCCAAGCACCAGGTTTATTCAACTCATCCGCGCCACCCACATCCCCCCACTCACCCCACACCCCACTTGCCAAACCACACCACCCAACCATAACTCCCCGCCCCACTCCTGCGCATCATGCCCTATGTCATGCAGAAACGTTGTCCTGTGAGGAACGGGTCTCGGATCACCCAGGCAGGGCCTTTCCCAAGACCAACTCATCCTGAGCTCCCGTTTCATAGCCCTGGCGCCCAGCAGGGCCCTGGGAGGTCGTAGACGGTAGACGGCAATTCCCCCTGGACCTGTCTTCTTCATTGGGATGATTGGGATGTTCGAATCGACCCTGGACAGAGCCCTCTTTAACAAAGTATTTTTTAATGAAAACGACTGGGGACCAGACCTGTCGGGCATAGGCCCGCAAAACTTGCAAAACTTGCATTGTGTCCGAGTCGATGGGATCGGTGGATCGCGCCGCGTCGCCAAGGCATCGTCGATGCATTTGCGCCGTCGGCGTGAATCAAGTCGGGTTCTACGTCGAGCCGCATCGAAGACGGGAAGGTGCACGTCATGGACAGAGGTATGTGCGCGGACGAATGGACAGCGGACAACGGCCCGTAAGGAGGCGGCGCGGGTCATCTTCCCCGGCAGTGCGCTGGGCTGGAAAATTGGTCAGCGTGGCGTGCACTAGATTCAGGGTGACACTCGATGAGTAGAAAAAGAAGGAAAAAAAAAAAAACATAAACATAAACTTTTGGAGCTCCGCGCGGATTTCCTGGATCTGCGCTGGACGCCTCTCCCCGGCGCGCGGAGCGCGCCAGGGGCGGCGCCGGAGGCGCAGACGGGAGGGCCCAGCGCGGAACCAAGAAATCCGCGCCGAGCGCAAAACCTGTATGTTTATGGCGTTTTTTACCCTTCGAATGAAGGCGTCTGGCATGGAGCCGAATGGAACTATTCTCCTGTTGCGCCGGTGAGACGGGCTCCTTCGGGGCCGCCCTCCGCGGCAGGGCCACGAGCCCGGAGCGCAGGGATCCACGCCGGATATGCTGGAAGGAAGAGAGGCGAGGCGAGGCAAGGCGCCAAATCTGCGTCCGCGCGCAGGGGCGCGGGCGCGCGCCGCGAGGACGTCGGCGGGGACGTCGGCGGGTGGGCCGGAGCCTCATCGCTTGGTATCTAAGGCGTTCTTCTCGCGCTCCGGGTCAGTCATCGTCGTCGTCGCCGTACTTGTCGTCCCATCCCTCTTGCTTGGAAGGAAGAGCAGGGGCATGAAATCTGGGAGACACATGGCCCCGGCCATGAGATCCGCACACCCCTAGTGCTCGCCCCCTCCTGGGCGCCCCCGACCCATCCCCATTTGGGAGGCATGGGTTCGTCAGGGGAAGAGCAGACAGCACAAACATAAACTGTCGAAGCTCCGCGCGGATTTCTTGGATCGGCGCTGGATCCCCCTCTCTGGCGCGCGGAGCACGCAAGGGGTGGCGCCAAAGGTGCCGCCAGTGGGGCCCAGCGCGGATCCAAGAAATCCGCGCCGAGCTTCGAAAGTTCAGGTGTTTGCCATGTTTCTTCTTCGATCTCTGATTCCATTTGGCAAGCATGGGTTCATGACGACTCATGCCTTCCCATCCCTGCATCCGCAACATCCTTTCGACAGCCGGCAATTCACAATTCGCTAACCGACTTGGCAGGGTGGGCGTTCCATCATCCTCCGATCTACTCTGAACCAATTTGAGAGGCATGGGTTCATGGCGACTCATTCGGGCGCACGCTAAGTTGGCTTACGGATACGGGTTCCCCTGAAATCCCGACTCATTCTCCAAGACTGGTTTTTTATCCTGGGTCGTCTTTAAACGGTCCCGGGGCCTGGCGAGGGCCCCCGCAAACAGAACATAGCGCAACACCTCGCGTCATGATTTCTTCACGACGCGAGGGTTAATGGCGGCTGAGGCCTCCCAAATGGGGTCCAAATAGATGGGGTCGGAGGATCGAGCCACTTCGCCGATGCATCGCCGGTGCATCGGCGACGTCGGCGATGAGTTGGCGACGCTGGCGTGGAGAAACTCAGGCTCCACATCGAGTTGCATCTCCGATGCATCGGCGATGCGGTGCCGTTCATTAACCCCGTCTACTCGGACCCCATTTGAGCGACGAGCAGAAACGGGTCTTACACGAGATGCCATAGCGACCATACGCCGCGGCTCACGCGGGCCGCCAGCGCGGCACGCTACATTGGAAGCGAGAGCGCTTACGCGCGGCCTTATGCGACCAACTTGCGCGCGAATGTCGGCGCAAATGACACCGTTTTGCTGAGTCGCTCATCTAGGAGGCCCAGATCATGCCTGGCATGATGCTCAGAACGTATGTCAGCGCCAACGTGTGCTCCTCCACGGAGGCCCTTCAACACGACGCGGGCGGTGGGTGCAATGGGGGCCAACACAGGCTGCGCGCTGTCGGCGGAGCCGACATGGGCAAGCACACACTTGGGATGGCACATGTCCTGACTTGGCGGCGAGCGAGAGGGGGAAGTGAGAGGGACAAGGCCTTCTCAGAAGGTACGGAAGTCCCCCAGCCTCCTGACAAGTTTTAAGTTTTTCCCGAAGACAAAAAAAAATCTCAGAAGGCGCGAGGGCTTCTGAGAAGTCCCGCCGCCTTCTGAGAAGTCCCGCCGCCTTCGCCGCCGACTGACGATCATCGAATCAGACCCCCCCCCCCCCGGGCGCCCCCAGGGGCGCGCCATCTCCGCCCACAGCTGCGGCGGCAGCGGGGGGCGCCGCCGCGGCTGGCCCGAGCAGTGACCTCTGCCCACCCTGGGTGTGGGCCCGCCGCTCCCGCCCGGCGCCTCCCTTGTTGTCGAAAAATTACAAATACCCCAAAAGATACACGAACCTAGTAAAACAAAAATAATCGAAAATAGTCCCCCGACTATTTTTTCACTATTTTTGAATATCCCTCCTGCAGAGGGACACGCCCGACTTGAGGCCGGTTGGATCGGGCCGCGGAGCTGGATCGGACGCGTGCAAAACCTGTATCCTATGCAGTGCCAGCGCTGGACCTAAACCCGTATTTTTCGTTTTCGTTTTGTTTTCGTCTTTCCTCGTTTCGCCGTCAATCCGCCATTGCCGTAAAACGAGATCGAAACGAAAACGGCCCACAAAATCGCCAAAACCCCGTTTAGGTCCACCCCCGTGCAGTGCCTCTTGGACCTTCTCGGAGAAGGGCGTCACAAGGCCGAGGCGCAGCGAATCAGATGTTTACCCATGTCCACTGCGCCTCTCGTTTCTGTTCGAGGGGCCCGAAACTCCAAGGCGCAGTGGATATGGATGCTCGCCTTGCCCGCGTCGGAAGCGGACGCAGATCTCCAACGTCGTGGCAAACACCGAGGCGGAGCTTTCTCGCAGTCTTCGGCCTCCGGGGGTCCTCGCCAGACGCTGGGCAGATATCCGGGATACCAGCTGGGGATCAGATCGCTGGCGAATCGCCCCGAACCGACTCGAAATCGGAACGCCGCGCTGAACTCTGGCTGGCCCTGGCCGATACCGGTGAAACGAACCGAGTCCAGATCGAATCCAGATCGCGGCTCCTGTTGGCGATTCGAATCTCGTTGACTCGAATCGCAGGCAACCCCCTTTCTCCCCGCCGATCAATCTCATCAACAGTCCTTCAACTCAGACCCACTCGCGTCGTGCAATAAACGATGGCGAAGGATGTTTGCCCATCTTTGGCCTCCTGGGGCCCTCACCTGGCCCCAGGACCCAGGATGAGAGCGGTGATCCCCCTGGAGGGGTCCGGACCTCTGGGGAGCTACGCTGCAAAACGAACATCACGGCGCCAGATGTCTGGGAAAGCAAGCGCGCGCAGGAGGAAGCGGGGAGAGGGGGGGTGGGTGGAGCAAGAACAGACCGTGGGGAGCCCGTCAGCGAGTCACTGCTGAGAAAGCACAAGGCGCATGCGGGCAGAAGCTAAGGATCAGCACGCTGACGGGCTCCCGACGACGGCGAATCGCCGATGCCTTTTCTCCCTCCCGCCAGGTGTGTGGGGGGGGACGGGAGAGTGGGCCGCCCATGGCCGGGTGGGTGGGCGTGGAAGGGCCAGCACGGGCCGTCGGGCGGAGCGGCAGTGGGAGAGGGGTTCATTGGACAACCTGGAGTGTGCGGCTGCAGCGAACCTGATGGAGGCAGCCTCGCGATGCCCTCACCCCTGGGCCGAGCCTGGGCCTGAGGGCCCCCGGATCTGCTCGGCGCCCAGCTATCGCGAACCCCACTGCAGGCTTCCGAAGGCACTGGAACATACTCCGAGGACCCCCAAAAGCCTTCTGCAAGGGCCGCATGGAATCAGCAAAAGCGCGGCGAAGTTCTTTGATGGTCTGTGTCATGCTTGTGCCGCTCCTTCTTCTCCTCCACTTGGGAACCGTCGTTCCTCTTTCGCGCCGTCCTCCTCCGCTCCCTATTCCTGCTGCTCCTCCTCCTCCTCCTCCTCCTCCTCCTCCTCATCATCATCATCATCATCATCATCATCATCATCATCATCATCAGCATCAGCATCAGCATCATCATCATCATCATCATCATCATCATCATCATCATCATCATCATCATCATCATCATCATCGTCATCGTCATCGTCATCGTCATCGTCATCGTCATCATCATCAGCATCAGCATCATCATCATCATCATCATCATCATCATCATCATCATCATCATCATCGTCATCGTCATCGTCATCGTCATCGTCATCGTCATCATCATCATCATCATCATCATCATCATCATCATCATCATCCTTATCAAACTGGACGTGAGCTGACACGATCCCCCTCATACTACTCCTCGAGCTCCTTCTCCCTCCTCCTCCTCCTCCTCTTCCCCATCCTTCTGCTTCTCCTCCTCCTCTTCCTTCTCCTGCTCCTGCTCCTCCTCCTCCTCCTCCTGCGAGCTGTGAGCCGTTGGCTATCTTGCCTGAGAGACTCAGCCATGCCCGCCCCCCCCCCCCCGGGAGCGGTTGCCTCGGGGGGGGGGAGCTGATCAAACCAAGGTATGTGTAATAGGACGACTGACGTGACAGCAGACCCCCCAAAGGACGGGTAGCTATGTTCCTCTGTACCGTGGGGGGGAGATAAAAAGAAGAAGACTCACAAACGTCAGTTACCTCGGAGAAGGAGGAGGGAGAAGGGACGCAGATGGCAGCGCTGGCAACAGTGGCGAGGCGTTCCGACGGTAGCGTAGTGGCCACTCTCGCCCAAGCGGGATGGCGCAACGGCCTCCCCCCTGCCGTTCGGAAACCCTGCAAATCCGACCGCCCGTCAAACCAAGGGGACCCTCACCCGCCGGGGCAAGCCAAAGGGCTCGCAGGGAGAGACCGGGACCGGGCGGGAAATTCCCCAGGCGTGGGGAGCTTTACTCCACGCCATCCTGCGGCGGTGGCCATAGGAGTGCGGCACCCACCACCCCCGATACCCACCCCCCTCCACGGCTTGCGGCTGAAAGTTGTGGCGTTCGGCTGGTGAGTAGCTCGCCTCAGTTGGCTAGTGAGGCTGGCTGGCTTCAAACAGTACGGATGGGTGACCAACTGGCTCATGTGCAAAGCAGTTGACAGGGCTGCACTGGAGGCGGCTCGCCTAGTGCAGTTACGGCAAGGGTGAGGTCGGGAAGGGAGGAGGACCTGTGACGTTAAGTGAGGGTGGGTGAGCAGGCAGGCGGGTGTGGCGGCTGAGCGGCCACACGCGCCGAAGAAGGATGGCGCAAGGGCCTGGCCGGGCCTCTCCTTCTCCTCCTCCTCCTCCTCCTCCTCCTCCTCCTCCTCCTGAAACCCAGCGAGGTGACTCCCAGTTCGAACCCCGGTACCCTCTCCTGCCACGGCAGGCGCAGGGTTTCCAGGGCCGAACTGGAGGTTTCGCAAGGTTTACCAATGAGTGGTGGGAGGCTTGTGCCATCCAGTGGCGGCGGCCGCGTTCGGTGAGCTCCCCCTGTCCGACCCCCCCTTCTGGTCAATCAAAAACAATTATCCTCCTGATCCTCCTCTTCCTCCTCCCCTGCCTCCTCCTGCCCCTGCACCGTCTTCCTCCCGCCCACTGGCTACCCGCCAACAGGCACCCCCAGGAGGATTCAGAGATGCCCCCAGCTGGCGCGACGCCGCGCCCAGCTCGTGCATGCGCTGGCAGGGACTCCTCCTCCTCCTCCTCCTCCTCCTCCTCCTCCTCCTGCTTCTCCCCCCCCCTACTTCTCCTCTTCCTGCCCTCCTCCTCCCCCTCGCCCTCCCCCTCCCCCTGCTCCCCCTGGTGACCTTGAGAAGTCTTTAGACACCCCTCCCAATATGGGGGCAAGGTGAGCTCAACACTAAATACTTACAGATGTTACCCCTCTCCCTCTCTCCCTTCTCCCTCCTCGTTCCTCCTCCCCTCCCTGCCTTCCCCAACAGCGGCCGCGAAGCAACCAGAGTTCTTCAACAAACTCTCGCTGGCTGCCGTGTGCGCCGCAGGTTCAATGGAAAATTCATGACCCCAGTCATCCGACGATGTGATACTTTCAGTGCGCGGCCCCATAGGTCTCGACTCTTTCCCTTAGATGGCCCCAGGGCCCTTCCTTGATGGCCCCAGGGCCTGAAAACGGCCCCCGAGCGCCGAACTCAAGGAAAAAGCGCCGGATGAAAACATCACATCGTCGGAGACATGGGACCGCACCCACCTTCTCGCTCTGTCCGCACCTCTCCTCGCCTGCTCTCGGTGCTGCGCCCCAGGGGAAGGCAGAGGGGGCGGGCCTTCTTAGAAGGCTCGAAGGGCCTCCGGCCTTCAGGCCCGAGGGTTTCTAGGAAGCCCCGCCGCCTTCTGAGAAAGCCCGCCCCCTCTCGCTTCCCACTTGGCTTGTGGATGTCATGGCGATGGACACCCTAACAGTCTTATAATTTAATTACACATGAACTTCAAATGTCGGGAAATGTGCCCAAAATGCTTGGAACATGTCTTTTGCATGTTTAAGACATGTTCAACTTATCTTTTAGAAATCTGGGAATCATTGTGCAACCTGCTTGCTATCCATTGATCGTCGCCCCCAACACTCGGCGTGCCGCCGCTCCCCTCTCAAAAAGGTGCCCCCCGGGGACGGTCGTCGAGGATCAGCTGGCAGAGCGCCGCGCAGGCGCCGGCCTCCTCCCAGCGGCCCCGGCGAAGGTCCTCCGGAGGCGCCACGTCGGACCGGGCGGAGGCGACGGGCACGGATCGCGCACACTGAGAGGCCTGTTTTCCACCACCACCACCACAAGTCGGAGGGGGAGGGGTCCTCCTCCTCCTCCTCCTCCTCCTCCTCCTCCTCCTCCTCCTCCTCCTCCTCCTCCTCCTCTTCGTCATCCTCCTCCTCCTCGTCCTGCACCTCCTTCCCCCCTCCAACTTGTGGTGGTGGTGGTGGTGGAAAATATGCCCAGCACATACACACTCACACACTTTGTGTCTCGGCGGCCAGGCAGAGTGACTGCGCTGGCGGAAAGAGCAGATACAGGGCAATGCAGGGCAGACAGATGCGAATCAGGCCGCAATGCACGAGGGGAGGAGGGCAAGGCCCGGCGAGGGCGGGCGGGAGGAGCTGGGCCCGCTCAGAGCAGGGCCAAGCTGCGGCGGGGGGGGCGCCGGGGGGGCGGCGGGGAAGCAGCGGCCGCCGGGCAGCCGGGGGGGGGCGGCAGCCAGGAGGCGGCCGAGCCAGGCGGTGGCGGGGGGCAAGAGTTGTCAACAGCCATACACACTCTCACACTCTTCGGGTGCTTGACGCAATGCCACGCATGACGATCACTCGGACACACGACATCACAACATTGGGCTGGGCATGCTGATATACCTATACTCTGTCCTCGGACGCAACAGTGGATCGCAAATACCGGATCCACAGTGGTGGGACACGCTCCAAGCCAATTGGCCGCCATTCTCCCGCTGGATGGTACTTGGGGGGAGGATGTGGGTGCGAGAAAAGGAGAGATACGGAGGGAGGTTGAAAGAGAGTTGTGTACGGCGCCAGCCTGCTACCCACCGCGTCGCGAAGCAGAAGTCTGCTACAGGAGGCAGAGGGAGGGAAGACGACGGAGGATTGGCTCAGATTCGCAGATGGGTGCCAGGACGCGCCCCCGTTCGTAGACCCCCTAGGCAGGGCTGAGCGAATGGGGAACACCCGACTCGAGACCGCAAGAAGGGGAGAATGACGAACCTGCGGCCTTGTCCCAGCAATTACCGGCTAAAGGGCCGTGCTGAGATCTCTCGCAACAGGTCATCAATGTTTCTGGCTCGCGCGCGCGGGGAGGCCCCTCGGGATCCCCAGATGAACAGTATGAAGGGGCCCTGGGACACACAAGTAAATAAACGCAAATCGTAGGAGTCCCCATATACTCTCATGTTTCCTGTGTTTTCGTCTTCCCCCCACTTCCCATATTTTCCCATGTTTTCCTGGGGGTCAACGATTACCCGTGTCCCGTGTTTTCCCCTCCTGAAATATACCCGGGCCAAATCCCGCGCGGTCCTGGGCCACACGGATGCCGGAACTCCTGGGCGCGGCCCTCGGTGCTCCCAGGCCCCCCCAAGAACGCCCCAAGGGAGCTCCACGAGGGCCCAAAATGCGACAACCGCTGCGGACAGCGTCTGGGCCTACTCAAGACGGGAGTCTGGCGTGTCTGGACAACATGCAATGCGAGACAAATGCGCAACAAAAATTAGGAGAAGAGTTGGGATCAATGAGTGGCAGGTCTCAAGAGGACCCAAAGACGGCTCGAAGAGGCCGCAAGATATCCCCAGTATGGCCCAAGAAAACTCAACGAGGCCCACGGAGATTCTATTTCGATGGCTTCCCTTGCATGTTTGAAGGCTTCTGGCGCTGCAGCCTCTTCGGGCTTCCGACTGCCCAAGACGGCTCAAGAGGCACCAAAGATCGCCCCAAGACAGCCCAAGACGATCCCAGGACAGTCCAAGAGGATCCCTGGACGGTCCAATAGGCCCCCCAAGAGGGCTGCAGAGGCCCCTACGTAACAGAGCCCCAAGAAGGGAATCCGAACTGCCATATGGAGTCCTTCCCTCGAAGAAAACCCCCAAGGAGCCCCAAGAAGCCTCCCTGGAGACCCCAACAAGCCTCCCAAGAACGCCTTTTGTCCATGACCCCGTCTGGCCGAAGGCCACTAAACGCTACCATGCAGCATGGGCTGGCGGAGTGAGCGAAGCGATTCAATGAGGAGAAGGTAACGAACCCGCGGACTTGTCCGGGCAAGCACCAGCCCAAGGGCCGCACTACTGGTCGTTTGAATGGATGTCTTTACCCTCAGCAGGAGGAGGAGGAGGAGGAGGAGGAGGAGGAGGAGGGAAGGAGGAAGGAAGGAGGGGTAGAAGGAGAAAGAGGATGATGGGATGGATTTGAAGGGCGAGGAGGGCGACGCGGAGTAGGAGCAAGTAGGTCCCGGGGCAGCTCAGTTCCAGAAGACTACCCGTGAAGGCCCTCCCAGGTGTTGTCAGCCTGTCCTCCCCCTCCTCCTCTCAACGGCCCGTGCTCCTCCCTCCTTTTCCTTCCTCCCCCTTCCTTCCCCTTCCTCCCCATTCCTCCTCCTCCTCCTCTCCTCCTCCTCGTATCCTCCTCCTCCCTCCTCCCTCCTCCCCTCGCCCTCCTCCCTCGTCCTCCTCCCTTCTCCTCCCCTCCTCCTCCCCACTTCCCTCCTCCTCCCCTTCCCCCTCCCATCCTCCCCCTCCCTCCCCCCTCCAGCAGCAGGCGAGGGCCCCGGCGCGGCGCGGCGCTCGGCGCAGGTCGCCGCGCGAACGCGGAGGGGGGGGGGCGGGGCGGCGGCGGGCGTCCTTGGGCATGCGGCCAACCTCCAAGGGGAACGCGCGCGCGCGGGCCCACCAGCCGCAGGTTGCAGAGCAAGCAGCTGCAGTCATCGTGCTATAGTATTCGGCCTGACCTAAGGAACAAAAAGTAAGGAACAAAGCCCTTTTTTTTCCAAGGTGAATCTAGGAAGTCCGAAGGAACACCAGGGGGGGTCGCCGCCAAAAAGGTAGCGGAACGCATGCAAGCCAAAGAAACGACCGAGCACCTTTCGAAAAGTAAGTGTTCCTCATTCACGCCGGACCCTGCAAGGGACGCAGCACGACGCATAAGAAGGAGCGACGGGGCTTCTCTGGCCACGGCGGGCCTGGGCCACAAGCAGGTTCCACGACATAGCTTGTGGGAGCGGCCCGGAAACCCGAGCAAAACTCCCGAGCCCAAAGCCGTCCTTCTCTCAGCGGCTTGACTGCACCCGGAGAAGCGCTGAACAAGGAACGAGGGGCCCCTCTACAGCAGCGGCCCAACCGCAAGAAACCTTCCACAGGAAACCCAACGCTGAGACCCCACTGTGTCCTTTGATTTCTAGTGTGGGGACGCCACGCTCTCCATGGCAAAACCATCGAACCCAACAAAACCCCGGGCACCCAGGATCGGGCCGGGCGAAAGGGGGGGATAGCAAAGGGGGGGGGGGGTAAGAATCAACTCGCGTAGCTGATTTTACCGGCGCCTCCCGGCGCCGGGAGGCGCCCATGTATCGAGGAATGGGCCCGGCGGCGGGGCCGAAACCAGCTGCATGAGGGCCCCTCCGCCATCCCTTTGTGAAAAACCATACAAAACACATGTTGCCCCCAATTTCGGAGCATGCGCAGCCAACCGGATGCGGCCTCCCCCACCATCCCTGTCAAAAAGCAATACAGAGTACACTTGGCGGCGGCAGCGGCGGCGGCTGCGTCGGCTGCGGCGGCGGCGGCTGCGGCGGCGGCGGTGGCGGCGGCGGTGGCGGCGGCAGCGGGGGCTGCGGCGGCGGCGGCGGCGACGGCGGCAGCGGCGGCGGCGGCGGCGGCTGCGGCGGCGGCGGAGGAGGAAGCGGCGGCGGCGGCGGATTGGCCCCCAGTAGCTGCCCATCCAAAGACGGCTGCTGAATATGCTGAGGCTCGGACCAGACTCGGGTGCTACGTATGTGTTGGGAAGGCGGTTGGGAGTGAGCGAGACGGCTTGCGGGCGGGGAGGGAGTCTTGATCCCTCCTCCTGCCCCCTGCCCTGGATTTTTTTTGGGGGGTCCGCGGGTGGTTGGAGGGCCCTGTGTCGGTCAACGTGCTCCCAGACGGCCTCCGATGCTCCAGAATGGCCTCCAACATGCCTCAAGATAGCCGAAGTTGGTCCAAGAAAGCTTCCGGCATGCCTCCAGGAGGTCCCAAGATGGCCACAAGACGGTTCCCAGTGCCCTCGGAGATCCTTCAGGACCCCTCTAAGAGCCCAAATCCTTCGAAAACCTAAGGACCATTGATGATGTTTGCCTTCTCGCCGTTTCGCTTCCTATGCGCATTGGGGGCCTCAAGGTGGCCCCAAAATGGCCCAAGAATGCCCCAAGAGGGGCCCAAGATGCCCCTAAGACGGCCCCGACAGGGCTCCAAAGCGCCCCAAGAGGGCTCCAAGAGCGCCCCAAAAAGCGGTCTTCAGGGCCCCAAGGGGGGGACTTAGATCGGGAGCCCCCCCTCCTTTGATCGATAGCCTAGAAGATGGCCCCAAGAGGCGCTCCAGGGCTCCCAAGAGAGCCCTAATGCAGCCCCCCTTAGGCCCCAAGTGGGTCCCAAAAGAGCCCCAAAACGGCCCCAAGAGGCCCCCGAACGGCTTCAGCGAACCCAAGATGACCTCCAAGATGGCTCAGATAGCCCAAGTTGGCTCACGATGGCCCCCAAGATGCTCCAAACGGCCCCAATACCGCTCCAAAGGTGCCCAAGAGCGCGCTCCAAGAGAACCCCAAGAAGTGGTTTTCGTCTCCTCTGAGGGGGAGCTGAGTTGGGGACCCCCCCCAATCCTGTAATCGATGGCCTCCAAGATGATCCCAAGAAACCTTCCAGGGTTACGAAGAGGGTTCCAAGAGGGCTCAACAAACTCCCAGAGAGCACCAACAGCAGCAGTCGCAATTATGCCTCTAGATGGTTCCATGAGTCCTCGTCCGCGTCGTCCTCATCCCCCGTCCTCCTCGTCCTCATCCGCGTCCTCGTCCTCGTCCTCCTCGTCCTCCTCCACCGCCTCCTCCTCCTCATCCTTTTCCCTTCGGCCCCACGCGGCCCCCAGGGACGGCCCGAAGAGGCCTTCCAAGGCAACCCCCTTGCTCCCAGAGATCTGTCGGTTCACACTGGTTGCCCGCCTTGTTTCCCTAGAT